TTTTATAACCATTTTATTATCATTCAACTTTTTGAAATTTTAAAAACACGTGATTAGCGTTTTTCACACTTTTTAACACCAATTCTTACATTAAAAGCAGGCATAGCTTTATTTTGTCGCTGGGATCACCCAGCCCCAGCTCTTTCACTCCCCAGCTGGTACCTGTGTCACAGGTGAGCAGGGAGATGATGCTGCCCTCAAGAGCTGGGGCCCAGCACCCAGGTGCAGGTGAGGTGCAGCAGTTCTTTTCAGGGATTCTGAAGGTGAAGGAAAAGGAAGTTTATTTTCTGACTCTAACATTTATAGGTTTTTAAAAGTGACCATGGATTGGAGGCTGAAAGTGCCACCTCTCCAATGACACTGGACAAACCAACAGTTTAATAAATTTCTTCTATAAAAGAATGCAAAACAAATCTCAGGAGCTCATTCCTTCCAGAAAGATTATTGATACTGCTCTAGAAGGCACCTGGGAACAGCATCTCAATCCTGCCCATGTTTTCCCAAAATCGCTCCCTGCAGCAGGAACAGCTGGGTGCAGTTGTCACTGCAGATGTTCAGGCACCCAAAGCAGCTGCAGCTGTTTGTCAGCAGCAGAGCAGATATTCCCTGTGCCATCACCTTTCCATAGGGATACAGAAGCTCTGGTTCTGGGGTATGTGATCCTGGCTGCTGAACTCCAGGGAAATCCACATTGCTCATTGGAAAACCCACCTGAACTTTTCTTTTAAATGTGATGGAGAAATGTCTCTGCATCCGGGGGCTACTGTGGTGCTAAATCACCTGAGGAGTGTTGGGGTGTGCAGGAACCCTACAAGTAAGGGATCAATAATCCCTGGACAGAAGCTGGGCTGCTCAGGAGAAATAATCCCTCGACAGAAGCAGGGTAACTCAGGATCAGTAATCCCTGAACAGGAGTTGGGCTGCTCAGGATCAGTAATCCTGGACAGGAGCTGGGTAGCTCAGGATCAATAATCCCGGGACAGAGGTTGGGCTGCTCGGGATCAATAATCCCCACACAGAAGTTGGGCTGCTCAATCATCTGAGGAGTACTGAGGTGTGCAGGAACCCTACAGGTAAGGGATCAATAATCTGTGGAGAGAAATTGGGGTGCTCGGGATCAATAATCCCTGGACAGAAGCTGGGCAGCTCAGGATAAATAATCCCTGGACCGATAATGGGCTGTTTAGAAGAAATAATGCCTGGACAGAAGCTGGGCTGCTCAGTTTTAATATAATATATGTCATAAAATAATAAATCAAGCCTCCTGAAACATGGAGTCAGATTTTCATCTCTTCCCTCATCCTTGGACCCCTGAGAACACAGTCACATACCTCCCTCTCAAATACATCTGCATGCAATTTCACAACAGGTTCATACATATTCATTCTACTGATTTCCTGTTACATTTCCTGTGAATTTTTCTTTATCAGAAAGAATTCCTGGGGTCATTTTGACCCTGCTTTCCACAGCAGCCTCTCTCTCTGTTTCAGAGTTCAAGGGCCCCCCCTTGATCTCTGTCTTGGGCTGCAGCAGTTTCTTAGAGCACAGGCTTTTGTCAGAACAGGCAGTCAGGCTGTCACAGACATCTCTCCTGAAAAATCCTTTCCTTAGGATTTTTCCTCCTGAGAGGCTGCGAGGCCTCAGGAACAAAATGTAAACATTGACATTATTTGCTGCTGTGGAATGCAACAGGTGGATCTGTGATTGGTCTCATGTGGTTGTTTCTAATTAATGGCCAATCACAGTCAGCTGGCTCAGACTCTCTGTCCCAGCCACAAACCTTTGTTATCATTCTTTCCTATTCTATTCTTAGCTAGCCTTCTGATGAAATCCTTTCTTCTGTTCTTTTAGTATAGTTTTAATGTAATATATATCATAAAATAATAAATCAAGCCTTCTGAAACATGGAGTCAGATGTTCTTCTCTTCCCCAATCCAAGAACCCCTGTGAGCACAGTCACAGTGAAGTTCTACCTGTCTGTTATTGTAATCACCAGTCGCTTTAGTTAATTGCTCCTTTTGTATCGGGATGGCCCTGCCTGAGGCTAAATTGATGGCCCTTCTCTCCAAACAGTGAGAGGACGGAATATGGGGGGGGAGGGCATCAGAGAAAATGCAAAATAACCTCGGGACCAGCATGCCATGGGAAGCAACCCCACCAAACTTACCGAAAAAACCCCCAAAACAACAAGCCAATACAGAATTAAGAGATCAGAGTGATGTCTGGAGGTGAGGAACAAAGTACCCAGCCTGCAGAGATGCTGAGAACCTTTGCTGCCTCTCACCCTGAGCAAGGACCTCAGCTGCCAGGCTGTCACAGCCCAGCTGGGTGATGGCACAGCCGGGATGGACAGAGGGGTCAGGGGTGTTATAAATAAAAAACCTGCCAATTTTTGGGGCAAAAAAGGGTTGCAGAGTGAACCAGTTATACCAGTTGCTGCCAAGGTGAAGTGTCGCAGACATCTTTTCATGAAAAATCCTTTCCTCAGGATTTTTCCTCCTGAGAAGCTTAGAGGCCTCAGGAACAACATGTAAACAATGATTATCTGTTGCTGTGGGATGCAACAGGTGCATCTGTGATTGGTCTCATGTGGTTGTTTCTAATGAATGGCCAATCACAGTCAGCTGGCTCAGACTCTGTCCGAGACACAAACCCTTGTTTTCTTTCTTTCCTATTCTATTCTTAGCTAGCCTTGTGAGGAAACATTGTCTTCTATCCTTTCAGTATAGTTTTAATGTAATATATATCATAAAAAAAAAATCAAGTCTTCTGAAACATGGAGTCAGATCCTCATCTCTTCCCTCATCCAAGAACCCCTGTGAACAATGTCACAGGTGGGACCCCCAGATCTGCCCTTTAGTGGACAAAGCTGCACTTTCCTCCTCCTCCGAGTCACCCTGGGAGCAGTTTCGGACCCATCGAGCTTCCCAACCTTGAGCTGATCACTTTTAATAAAGGCATTAAAAAGGAGAAAAAGTCTCCTGCCCTGTTTATTTCACCCGGTGTCACCCACCTACCCAGCCCCAGGGGCCACACAGCACCTGAGGCGTCCTCCTCCTGTGCCACCCGGTCTGTGACATGGCCCGTGAAGTAGGGGGCGGCCACCTCACCGGTGGGGATGGGGACACAGCATCAGCGTCACCACGATGGGTGGTGACCCCTGAATTGAGGGAAGAGGACTGGAAATTGTGTCCTGACCACTGCCAAAATTGTGTGTTGAACCCCAAAATCAGATCCTGATTTCCCAAACTGGGTGCTCAAAACTTCTAAATTGGTTTTGGCCTCAAACTGGCCTTGCAACCCCCCATCAGGTCCTGTCCCCCTCCCCAGTCATGTCCAAACCCACAAATCAGATCCCAAATCCCCTCAAAGGGGTCCTGTTATGTCCAAACCCTCCACATTGGATCCCAAATCCCCTCAAATTGATCGTGACCATTCCCAAAATTGCGTGTCGAGCCCCAAAACTGGATCCTGATTCCCCAAACCCGGTGCTCAAAACCTCTAAATTGGGTCCTGACCCCTCAAATTGGTTTCTGACCTCGCTCAAATCAGATTCTGCCTCCCCCAAATTAGGTCCTGGCCCCTCAAATTGGCCTTGCAACCCCCCACGGCATCCTGTCCCCCTCCAGTTATGTCCAAAAAGCCTCAAAATCAGATCCCAAAGACTCTCAAAGGGGTCCTGTTATGTCCAAATCAGATCCCAAAGCTCCTCAAAGGGGTCCTGCTATGTCCAAATCCTCCAAATCAGATCCCAAAGCCCCTCAAAGGGGTCCTGCCCCCCCGGTCAGGGTCCCCCCGTACCAAGAGCAGAAGCCGACATCAGCTCCCCACCAGCGTCCATCGCCCGCGCTCAGGGCCCAGCAGGGCCAGGAGCCGGCGAATGGGGGGAGACAGTATCGGGGACACGGGGACCGGTGGGTTCTGCTGTGGCCGGTGGGTCTCGGTCTGTCCTGCTGGCTCCCGGTCCTGCTCCCGGTTCTTCCCGCCGGTGGTTCCGGGCAGTGCCGGGGGCCCGTGCGGGCCCCGGTGCTGCTCGCAGCGTGTCCCGGTCCGGACCGTATCGCCCTCGGACGGCCCCGGTGTGGTCCCGATGCCGCCCCAGTCCCTTCCCGGCAGCCGCCGCCGTTTCCCGGAACGCACGCGCGGGAATCCCGGCCTGACACGCCCACGCCTGAAATAGCGTCTGTGATTGGTCAAAGCGGAGGTGACATCATCGGTTGCCAGGCAGAGGGGGCTGGAGTGGGTTGGGAGGCGAAGGAGACGGTGCCCGGAGGGGGCGGGGTCTGGGCGGGAGGAGGCGGGGTCTGGGCGGGGATTGGGCGGGGCAGGGCGGGGAGAGGGCGGGGCAGAGCGGGATGGGCGGGGGCTCGAAAGCGAAACCTTAACGGAGCTTTTGGGAGCTGAACTGAGAGCGCTGGTGTGGACTGGGGAGTGCCCCAGGCTGGACTGGAGACATTGATGTGGACTGGAGACATTGATGTGGACTGGGGAGCTGAGAGGGCTGAACTGGGAGCACCGTAGTCTAGACTGGGAGCACTGGTGTGGACTGTGGAGAGCCCCAGGCTCGACTGGGAGCACTGCTGGGGACTGGTGAGTGCCCTAAGCTGGACTGGAAACATTGATATGGACTAGAGAATGCCCCAGGCTTGACTAGGAAGTGCCCCAGGCTGAACTGGGAGCACTGGTGTGGGCTGGTGAGTGCCTTGTCTGGACTGGAGAGTGCTCCAGGCTGAACTGGGAGCACTGGTGTGGACTGGCAAGTGCCCCGAGCTGGACTGGGACCACTGGTGTGGACTGGAGAGTGCCCCAGGCTGAATTTGGAGCACTGGTGTGGACTGCTGAGCTCAGGGGGCCAGACTGGGAGCACTGTAGTCTAGACTGAGAGCACTGGTGTGCACAGGAGAGCGCCCCAGTCCTAACTGGTTTTAACTGGTGTCTCCACAGGCTGTTGCTCATTCCCCGTGAGCCCCACAGAGAGCACTGTCCGTACCGGTCCCACCATGGCGCTGCCACCCGCCACTCTCCTGCCCGGTGTGCTGCTGGTGGCCGACGCCCTGGCACTGGTGTTACTGGTGCCGCTGGTGCCGCTGCTGGCGCCGCTGGGCGTGCTGGGCGTGTGGCTCGAGGCTGCCCTGCGCTTGCCCATCCTGGCCGCGGCCACCCGGCTGCCAGCCCCTCGCCGTCCTTCCGGAGCCACCGCGGCCGCCGTCACGGCCGCCGCCACTCCCGCGGTGTTCGGAACCTTCCAGAGCCTCCTGGGGCCGCCCGGGGCCGGCCCGGGGCTGTTGGCGGCCGCGGCGCCCGCCTGGCTCGGGGTCACCCACGCCGCTGCCGCCCTGGCCGTGCTGGCTTGGGCCGCGCCCCCGGCCCCCGGCAGCGTCCCCGAGACCCCCGGAGGCGTCCCCAAGGCTCCCGACAGCGTCCCCGAGACCCCCAGAGGCATCCCCAAGGCTCCCGGCAGCGTCCGGCGCGCTCTGGCACTGACCTGGGAGCAGAGGAACGTCCTTGGAGCTGCTGTCCTCTGCCTTGTGCTGGCTGTTCTTGGTGGGTGACTGTCTTGGTTTAGGGCAAATTTGGGAGAAAACCTCCAAAAGCGGCCCCTCCAGAAAGCAAACCCACACAGCCCGTCCCCAAACCAGTTCAGGAAAGATTCCTCAGAGAGAAGTGGAAAGAACCTGTTTATTTAACAGGCAAAGCACACAAAATGAACAATACCAGATGACAACACTCTTTCACCACTCTGAAAAAGATGACAAATTCACAAAGTCTCTCTTGGGGGTGATCGCTCTGTTCTCAGTCCCTCTGGTCCTGGGGCAGCTGCTGCAGCCACAAAGTGCAAACTCTCGGTGTTCCCAGGTCCCGGTCTGGAGCAGGCTCAAGTAGGTCCAAAAAAGGGAAAGGAGAAACAGTCCAGGGAAAAATTCGGACTGCTTAGCTAAACTAAATAATGAGCGGAAACAAAAGCAAGAGCGAAGCAGGAGCAAAGCAGAAGCAAGAGAAAAGCAAAAAGCCAAGCAAAAAGCAAAAGCAGCACCATGTACTGCCCGGTGTCTGTGTCCCGCCAGCCGTGGGGGAGCGGCTGATAACAAAACCAAAGCAAAACTTTCACTCTTCAGAGCCAGTCTTGAAGGCACAGAACATGATATCCAGCATAAACAGAACACACAGATGGGGATACAAACATCCTAACGTCACCTTAGGACGTTGACATGTGGTGACAGGCGTTGACACCCCCAATTTGGGCTCTGCAGCCCCAAATTGGGAACCCCCCAATCTGGGATACCCCACCAAATTGGATGCTGGCGCCTTAAAATTGAGTGTTGAGCTCCTAAATAGGTGATGACCACCCTAAAATAGAGTGGTGACCCTCCTAAATTGTGAGTTGACCCCTTCAGTTGGGTGCTGACCCTGCAAAAATGGGGTGCTCACTTTCCAAAATGGGTTCTGACCCTGCAAACTTGACTGTTGGTCCCCCAAAATTGGGTGCTGACCATCAAACTAATGGTCTGATGCCCAAATATGGATGTTGACCTCTAAGACCTGGGATCTTAAGGTCCTGATCTCCTATGTTTAGGTTCTGATCCATAAAATTGTGTGCTGAACCCCCCCAAAATTGGTACTGACACTTTAAATTGGGTGTAAAATCCCTAAATTTTTCACGAAACCCCCCAAATTGGGTCCTGACTTCTCTAAATTGTCTCCTGCCCAAATTGTGTCCCGCCTTTCCAAAATTAAATCCCCGTTCCCCAGACCAGATCCTGCCCCCCACAAATCAGGGTCCCCCTGTGTCAGTGGTCTCACCCGTGGTGACGCAGCCTCGGTGACACCCAGGGGAGATGGCGGGGCCATACACCAGCGGGAAGGTGCTGGATGCCATCGGGAGTGGGGATGGAGTCACCGCTGGAGCTGTCGGGATGGTGGCGGCTGCTGGAGCCACAAGGTGGGTTGGAGCATTCCCAGGGCCTGTCCCCGTGTCCCCAACGTCCCCGATGTCACCGTGTCCCTGTGTCCCCACAGTGTGCTGTTTTCTGGCTGCCGGGGGTCTCTCTTCATGCTGTTGATGGCGTGTCTCCATCAGAGCCTGAGCCTGTGGCCTTTTTCTCACCTGGTGCACCAAGACTTGGACTTCTTCCAGGGAACACCAGTAGGTAACGGGGTACGGCCCAGCCCAATCCCACCTGACCCATCCCACCTGTTCCATCCCATCCCAGCTAGTCTGTCACCCCAGTCCCATCCCCACCATCCCATTGATCCCATCCCATCCCATCCCATCCCATCCCATCCCATCCCATCCCATTGATCCCATCCCATTCATCCCATTTTATTCATCCCATCCCATCCCATTGATTCCATCCCATCCCATCCCATCCCATCCCATCCCATCCCATCCCATCCCATTGATCCCATCCCATTCATCCCATTTTATTCATCCCATCCCATCCCATTGATTCCATCCCATCCCATCCCATCCCATCCCATTCCCACCATCCCATCCCATTGATCCCATCCCATCCCATCCCATCCCATCCCATCCCATTCCCACCATCCCATCCCATTGATCCCATCCCATCCAATCCCATTCCATTCTATTCCCACCATCCCATCCCATTGATCCCATCCCATCCCATCCCATCCCATCCCATCCCATCCCATCTGTCTGTTATCCCATCCCACGACTCCATCCCCATCATTCCCATTCCCACCATCCCATCCAATTCCATCCTATGCCATCTTCCTGGCTTCATTCGACTCCAGTGTTCCATCCTGTCCCCATCCCACTTTCCCATTCTAGCCACTGTTCTGTCCCCATTATTCTCACTCCCGTGCCTCCACCCTGTTCGTATCCCCAGCTGCCTCACACCATCCCATCACCCCATCCCACTATTTCCTTTCCCACCATCCCATTTCCCCTGTCCCGCCCCATTCCACCCTGACCATCTCCACAGCCATTCCCATCATCCCATCCCACTGCTCCCCATTACATCATTCCCATCCCAAATGGGATCATCCATGATGGGATCATGGTCTCACCCACCACGATCCCAACCTCTTTTCCCACCCTGCAGCTGAGCTCCTGGCTCAGTTTTCCATGGAAGTGCCACGGGTGTGCAGGGCAGCACCGAGTGGAGCCAACCAGCTGCTGCGGAGCCTGGTGATGGCCCTGGTGGTGGGGGGGTTCATGGTGGGGCTGGCACCGGGGCTGGCACTGCTGGCACTGCTGGAGGTGCCCCTTGGAATTGCCACCCGCCGCATCCAGAGCACGCAAACAGGTCAGGAGTAGGAGGGAAAGAGTGGGAGGGGACTGAAGAAAGGTGGGAATGGTGGAGCTGGGATGGAGGCTAGGGGAATGGGATGGTGGGGATGGGATGGGATGGGATGGGATGGGATGGAGAATGGAAAGGAGGACGATGGAGGTGGAAATGGTGGGATGAAAGGGGATGAAGACGAGGGGAATGCGATGATGGGGATGGGATGGAGAATGGAAAGGAGGACGATAAATGGTGGGATGAAAGGGGATAAAGACCAGGGGAGTGAGATGGTGGGAGTGCTGACATGAGGATAGAACAAAATGGTCGAGATGGGACTGGTGTGGATGAGAAGGATGAGATAAGGTGGTGGGTATGGAATGAGACAGTGGGGATGGGGATGGTGGGATTAGGAGAATGGATGGGAATGGTGAGGGTGAGAGAGAAGGGCGTGGGATGGCGGGAATGCAATAGTGGGGATGCAGTGGGTGTGGTGGGATGGGATGTGGATGGTGGGCCAGGAAGGTGACCTGGGAAAGTTGGAGATCCCCTGTTGCTGCCACAGGCCCTTCAGCGATCCATGCTGGAAGCATCTGCCCGCACAGCCGCAGGGGTGCAGGAATCTGTTGCCGCCATCGAGACCATCCGAACCTTTTCAGCAGAGGAGGAGGAGGAGGAGCAGCACAGATGTAACCTGGCCAAGGAGCTGAGGCTGAAGGAGCAGATAGAGCTGGAGCTGGCAATCTTCGTCCTTGTCTACAGGGTCAGGGGGGACTGGGAATGGGAACAGCAGAGAATGGGGGATGCCAGGATCAGGGATGAGGACAATGGGAATGAGAACACTGGGACCAGGAATGGGAAACCAGCGGCTGAGATGGGGGCACTCAGAGTACAATGGGGACACCAGGAATGGGGACAACAGAACAGGGACATTGGGTTCAGGAACAGGCATGGCAGGAATGGGAAGGGTGACATTAGAAGCAGGATGGGGACACTGGGATAAAGGTTGGGAACATCAGTGTGGTGGTGTTTGCAGGTCCCCAGGATGAGAAAAGAGACAAAATTCTTGACTTCATGTTTCAGAAAGCTGATTTATTATTTTATGATATATTAAAAGAAAATTATATACTAAAGAAAGAGAAAGGAGACATTAGAAAGCTAGAAAGGAATGAATAATAAAATCTTGTGACTCACCAGAGAGTCTGACACAGCTGGACCTGTGATTGGTCATCAAGTAAAAACAACCACATGAGACCAATCAAAGATGCACCTGCTTCATTCCACAGCAGCAGATCATTATTGTTTACATTTAGTTTCTGAGGCCTCTCAGCTTCTCAGGAGAAAAATCCTGGTGAAAAGATTTTTCAGAAAATATGTCTGTGACACATCAGGATCAGGAATAGGGACATCAAGAGTGAGATGGGGACACCAGAACTGGAATGAGGACACCAGGAACAGAGATGAGGCCACCAGGAACAGAGATAAAGACACAAAGGAGTCGGATGGGGACAGGCAGAATGGGGACACTAAGAGTGGGTTGGGGGCAGATGGAATGGGGACACCAGGAGTGGGTTGGGGGCAGCAATATCCCTGTCCCACCTACAGGTGATCAAACTGGCCATCCGGGTCATGGTGCTCTTCAGGAGCCACCAGCAGCTCCGTGACGGATCCATCACTCCTGGGGTCCTCGTCACCTTCCTGCTGTACCAGGACAGAGTTGGTAGCCATATCCAGGTGATCACATGGAATGCACGTGTTTGTCCATCCGACTGTGCTTCTGTCCATCCCGGTGCCACCCCCTTCCTTCTCCCCAGGTGCTGCTCTATGGCTTCAATGAATTCCTGACCAACGCAGCTGCTGGACAGAGGATCTGGGAATACCTGGATCGGAAACCCGCAGGGAATGTCGGGGGGACGCGGGAGCCTCCCGAGCTTCAGGGCCATGTCACTTTTCAGAAGGTCTCCTTCACATATCCTGGAAATCCAGAGCACCCTGTGCTGAAGGTGGGTCTGGGGGGAGGTGGGGTTTCCCAGGGGTGGGAATTTTGGCATCACCTGCTGTCACAATCCATCCTTACGAACAGGTTTCTTGATAGTTCATGGATTGATCTCAGGGTGCAAAAAAACCAACACGGCACAGGAGGTTTGCAGTAATAAAACAAATGCAGCTTTATTGAATGACCACAACAAAATGCAATAGAGGGATTAAGGGAGAGAAAAAGATAGAGATAGAAAAGAGAGAGAGAGAAGGAGAGGGATATAGCTACCAAATGCAGAGACGAAATCCTTTGGTCCAGTCCAGTCGAGGATCCGCCTGTTACGTCGGGGAGATCTCAGGGTTGCAGTCCATCTGGACCCCAATTATACTCTTTTTTTGATGGGGGAAGGGGAATGGATTTTGCAACTGAGTCAAAGGTAGTTTATTGTATCTTCGGGGAGGAAAGAATAATGTTTGGAAAAGGGGTACACACAGTCCATGTTCAGCAGTGTGGGCGTGAGCCATTGTTTTCATGGTCCACTGCTCACACCTGCAACATCCATCTTGCTTTGGTTAGCTTGCCTCCTCCACACACCTCTCCCAGGTTGGGGGTCTCAGTCCCAGTCCTTGGAAAGAGTGTGGGGGGCCTTTTCACATGGGGGTTTCATGTCTTGGTCTTTGATGGAGAGGCTTCTTACATCTCAGTCCGTCTGTCACGGCAGTTGTAAGACGAGTGAGGGGTCTTTGTGGGGGACCACCCAAAACTCAGGAGAAGTCCAGCCAGGCAAAGAGGGGACAGCTTCCAAGGCTACTGTTGCAAAAAGGCAAGGTGCCCCCTTCTTCTTCTCATTGGGCTCAGTGTAGCATATAGTAAATACACCTGTGGACAACAGCCTAACAATGCTCTCAGATCTCAGGGCCTTGTTGACATGTGACTTTCTCCTTCAGAACCAGAGATTTTAGACAGTGGGGACTCTTCAGTGGTCCCCCAATGATGATGGTGAGGCAGATGAGGAATATTTCAGACAGACTCTCACACCTGTCCCCATCCCACATGATGTGAGCTTCGAGGTGCGCTCTGGGGAGGTGACGGCGCTGGCGGGGCCCAATGGCAGCGGGAAGAGCACGGCCGTGGCGCTGCTGGAGCGGCTGCGGGATCCTGGCAGCAGGACGGTGCTGCTGGATGGGATCCCGCTGCCAGAGTATGAACACCAGTACCTGCACCGCAAGGTGGGACAGCAGAGACACTGGGAACACTGGGCATGGAATGGGGAAAATGGGGACAGGGGTCAGGGGACAATTGTGATGGTGTTCACAGGGGTTTTTGGATGAGGGAAGAGACAAGGATTTGACTCCATGCTTCAGAAGGCTTGATTTATTATTTTATGATATATATATTACATTAAAAGTATACTAAAGGAACAGAAGAAAGGATTTCATCAGAAGGCTAGCTAAGAATAGAATAGGAAAGAATGATAACAAAGGCTTGTGGCTTGGCTCTCTGTCTGCACCAGCTGGGTTGTGATTTGCCATTAATTACAAACATCCAACATGGGCCCATCACAGATGCACCTGTTGCATTCCACAGTAGCAGATAATCAATGTTTACATTTTGTTCCTGAGGCCTGTCAGCTTCTCAGGAGGAAAAATCCTAAGGAAAGGATTTTCCATAAAAGATGTCTGCAACAAACAGTGAAATGGAACTGGGACCACAGGAGCATGGGAGCAGAAATGGGGATACTGGGAAGAGGATGGGGACATCAGGAATAGGGTGGGGACAACAAGAAATGGGATAGGAACATTGGGAAATGGGATGGGGATGACAGGAATGGGGATGGGAAAAGTGGGAAGTCAGGGGTGGGGACACTGGGGACACAGATGGGGAGAATGGGATCAGGGATGGACACTATGGGGACACCAAGGTGGGATGGGGTCATGGAACAGGGGTGGGGACACCAGGAGCCAAGACAGCATCCTAGGGCTTGGGGCTGGGGCAGGTGGTGCTGGTGGAGCAGGATCCCGTCCTGTTTTCTGGAACGATCCGTGAGAACATCCTGCTGGGGCTGGAGCACTGCAAAGAGTCAGAGCTGCGGGAGGCCGCCACTGCTGCTGGAGCCATGGAGTTCATCCAGGGGCTGGAGCAGGGCTGGGACACTGGTGAGAGCCAGGGGGATGGATGGGGCACCCCTGGGGCACATCCCCCTGATCCCAGGATCCTCTGGCAGCGATGGGAGAGCGGAGTGGGTGGCACATGGTGGGGTGTGCGGGGGATCCCTGAGGTCACATCCCACTGATCCCATGGGATTGCTCACGCAGGTCAGATCCCACTGATCCCATGGGATTGCTCACACAGTGGTGAGGGAGTGTGGGGGGTAGGGGAAAGGAGGGGAACCTCTCATGCTGGGATCCCACTGATCCCAGGGTCCCCCCGCAGAGGTGGGGGAGTGTGGGGGGTGGGAGAAGAGGGGAGAACTCCAGGGCTGCACCCCACTGATCCCCTGTGGTCGCTCCCACAGAGGTGGGGGAGCACGGGGGGCGGCTGGCGGCGGGGGAGCGGCACCGTGTGGCCCTGGCCCGGGCTCTGCTCTGGCGTCCGGCCGTGCTCATCCTCGACGAGGCGCTGGATGATGGATATGATGGAGCAGTGAGTGGGGTAGGATGGAGGGGGTTGGTGTGGATAGGGGTGCAGTTGGTGAAAATGGGGTATGATGGGATGGCTGGAATGGGATGGTGGGATGAGGTGGTGGCAATAAGGGATAATGATTGGCATGGAGTGGGAATGATGTGATGAAGACAGGGATTGGATGGGGTGGTGTGAGTCAACGAGGTGGAGAAATAGGACAGGATAGTAGGATGGGATAGAGACCAGGGGTGTAGGATGGCAGGAAAGTAGAATCAAAAGATGAAGACAAGGAGATACGATAGGGTGGGGTGGGATGGGGTGGGAATGAAGGGGATGGGAATGCTGGGATGAGGACAGAGATGGAGTGCAATGGGAAGGGTTGGAGTGGTAGGAGTAGGATGGGATGGGACAGTGGGAATGGGGATAGTGTGGGCAGGATGGCATAGTGGGCATGGGGATGGGATGGAGAACAGGGAGATGGGATGGTAAGAACAGGATGATAGGATTAGGGTGGGACTGAGAGGGGGGTGGGATTGGTTGGTCGGGACTGGGTGGGATCAGGTGGGACAGGGTAGGACTGAGTTGGATGGGCTGGCATGAGGGTTCTCTGATTGGATGGGCTGGCATGAGGGTTCTCTGATTGGATGGTTTGGCATGAGCGTTCTCTGAGCTGGATGGGTTGGGATGAGAGTTCTCTGAGCTGGATGGGTTGGGATGAGCGTTCTCTGAGCTGGATGGGTTGGGATGAGTGTTCTCCTAGCTGGATGGGTTGAGATGAGGGTTCTCTGAGCTGGATGGGTTGGGATGGGAGTTCTCTGAGCTGGATGGTTTGGGATGAGCTGGATGGGTTGGGATGAGTGTTCTCTGAGCTGGATGGGTTGGGATGAGCATTCTCTGAGCTGGATGGGTTGGGATGAGCTGGATGGGTTGGGATGAGCGTTCTCTGAGCTGGATGGGTTGGGATGAGTGTTCTCCTAGCTGGATGGGTTGGGATGAGCTGGATGGGTTGGGATGAGAGCATTCTCTGGCTGCAGGCACAGCGCTGGGTGCACACTGGGCTGGCCAAGACCGTGCTGGTCGTGTCCCACCGGCCGCGGGTGCTGGACAGGGCCGATCGCCTGGTGCTGCTGGAGCGCGGGGCCGTGATGGAGACGGGAACACCAGCGGAGCTGCGGGAACGCCGCAGCGCCTACAGCCGCCTGCTCCTTGGAGGAGGCAGCACCGGGCAGCCCGAGGGCCCCAGGATGGGCAGCGAGAAGGGGGCTGTATCTGGCAGGGAATAAAAGGGAATCAGCCCCAGTGTCCCCATTCCCGGTGTTTGTGTCACCAGCCAGCTCCTGGTGTCCCCAGTCACAGTGTCCTGTGAATCCCTTCTCCCCACATCCTCAGAATCCCAACTCCCTGTGTCCCCCATGTCCCCACTGTGTCCCCCAGGTCTGCCCATTCCCTGGATATGTGTGTATCCCCTGTATCCACCACGTTCCCATGATCCCTGGTCCCCATGTCTGCTCCTGGACATGGGGCACAGGGTGGGAAATCAATCCCAAGGAATGGATCTGGGCATGGGTGTCACGTCCTCATCTCACTCCTGCTGTGCTCACTCCAAGCTCCTGGTGTCCCCAGTCCTTTCCCAGTGTCCCCATCCCCAGTGTCTTTATCCCAGTTCCCAATGTCCCCTTTTCTATTCCTCATTCCCTGAGAGGAAGTGCTGGGCACTGGAGGATGGGACGGAGATTTATTGCCCAAACCAGGGTATTTATACATGAGAAATAAAACATTTTGAACAACTGTAATTCTTGTGTTTAAAACATGGGAAAACAGGAAGTCAGTCCGTTGGGAAGGGCTGCTGTGTGATGAGTGGGAACAGCAGGATGAGCTCTGCCAGCAATTTGTGGCTTTCTGCAGGGAGAGGGAAGGGGTTGGACCTGCACCATGGATCATTCAGCTGGTGATGAGAGTAAGAGTTGGTGTCACCCTGTCTCTGTCACCATGGGTTGGATCTGGCTGAAGAGCCCACAGAGAGCAAGGATCCCACCAGATCCTACTGCATCCCTTGTACCTCAATCCTGCTCCACCAACACCACCTGATCTGTTTTGGAATCCCCTCAATCCTGTTCTGGAATCCCACTCCAATGCTGCCCCATCCATCCCACCTGATCCTGCTCTGGAATCCAGCCCAGATACACTTTAGAATTCTACCTGATCCTGATCTGGAATCATGCCCTGGTCTGGAATCCTGCCCTATATCCCTTCTGGAATCCCGCACAGATTCCCCTCCGTACCTGTGGTCACGCAATTGGTTTCTTTGCCTGTTCTGCAGAATAAGAGGATCCATGAGATTCCAGCATGGATCACACACCAGGATTCACCTGCATGGAGGTGATCCAGAGCTGGATCTGCCTCTGTGTTAGGTGACATGTGGAGGGTGAGGGGCACAGGAGACAGACACCACTCACCCTGATGTTTGTGTGGCAAGAGAGGGTTTTGTTTTCCACTCCCTCCTTTATATAGAGCATTTGAAAGGCCTGGTCTGGATGCTGTCACTGGTTTGAACTCCGCACCCCTTTGGGTCCTGGGCCACTGAGATGCCTGCAGGCTTATGAGAGATCAAATTGGCCAAAGCTCTTGTCACTGAGCCCAGGGGCTGGCAAGGTGACACCAACATCTCACCCCTTCTTTTCTATAAATTTTGATTTGCATTATAGCTGCAGCATTTATGTCCAGGAACTGCTAGGGGAGAGCTCAGGTAAATATTCCCCAGGCATTAGGCTTACAGGTTACAGATTGCAACTTATTTGTAAAAACAACAAACCATTTAAGCCTTGAAGAAAATAAAAGTCTGTAAGAACAAGAATCATTCAACCCTTATTAAAGAAAGAAAAGCAAACACAAAAACTAGGAAACAATCTGTAGACAAGGAAAACAGTTTGTAAACAGGGGAATAATTTGTAAACAGATGAATCTTTATGTGAACTGCAGTCCCAGATTTCCATGAGGTTGTCACCAACCACTGATCACACGGCTCTGCGTCTGCTGAGGGTTTATCAGCAGGTGCTGTCAGGATGCAGTGCAGGCTGGATGCATCTGGCAGGGACCCAATGTGTCCCACTGTCTGTTGGAACACATGAATGTCCCCAAGCCCAGGTAATGAGATCCCAGGGACCCCCCCATGTATTGGTAAGGAGGTCTCGTGCCATTCCCTTGGATTTGGGCAGCTGAACATCACACGATTGCATTGATAAGGAGTGATTTAGCATAACTGGGTTCTGGGATTTTCCTAAGACTGTTAAGTGATTTAATGTGTATAGAGCTTTAGCTATTCTACTCTGTGGGGTCTCACCACATACCTCCCTTTTGTTTATTAACTATACCTTTTCAGGCACCATGTGCTCTTCCCACTATTGCTTGTCCAGCCGGTAAATGAGGGATGCTGGTTTGGTGTGATACACCCCAGAGCTGTAGAAATTGCCTGGTTTCCTGGGAAGTGTAGCAGGCCCTTTATCAGTTTTGATGGTTTGAGGACTGCCCAAGGCTGCAAAAGCTGATTGCCAGTGTACCATGGCACCCAGTCCCCTTTCCCCTGTGTGTACTGTAGCCCATATTGCTGAGGAAAAGGTGCCAATTGAGACACAGGTGTGTTTTAAACGGCCAAAATCAGGGATGTGTGTGACATCAATTTGCCAGATTTGCAAAGCACACAGTCCATGAGGGTTCACTCTTATCTGCAATGGTGCAGCGTGACCTTGACAGCACAGATGCTAACAATATTACAAACCTCTGTGTTTGACAGCTGAAATTGCTGTTGTAAAGCTCAAGCATCTTGGTGGAAAAAACTGTGCAATGCCTTTGTTTGTGGAAGCACATCTGGCTGTGGCGCTGAATGGGTACCAGAAAAAGGTACCTGGACCATCTGTAATTCTTTGTTTTTATTGTCTCATATTGTCCTAAATCCTAATTGTCCAAATTTTTATTACTCTAGTAATATTGCTATTTTTATAACCATTTTATTACTATTAAACTTCTAAAGTTTTGAAAAATAAGTGATTGGCATTTTTCACACAGTGCCTGACACAACATCCCATGGACAGGGAGGTCACAGGATGTAAAAAACGCCAATCCTGTCACTGCTGTGTCCCAGTGCTGCACCGAGGACATCCCCCAGCGTGATGGCCATGTCATCCCCAAGGGTATGACAGGGTGTCCCCAGTGTCACCACCCACCCTCATCTGCTGTCCCTAAAGTGGCCATTCCCATCCCACCAGGGGTCATCTGCCTGATGAGCATCTACGGGACCCACCACAGCCCAGACCTCTGGCCCGAGCCTGAGGTAGGGCCACCCTATGAGGTGTCCCTTGAGGAAGCAAAGGGAGTCGACCATATCCTAACTGATCAGCATCGAACTCCGATTTATTGATCTAGCTTACACTCTTTTATAGAGGTGTTAATTAAGCTTATACATATTACAAAACCCGAGCACATCATTGGTTGTAGATTACACACCAACCCCTCTTTGTTGCCAATACCTGTGGTTTTCTTGTTGAGACTAATACTTGTTTTTCTCATTCTGTTATTGACTTGTTATTAACTGTTCTCAAGGCCTCCATGTTTTCCACCATGTTTTTTCTCATCACTTCCTCAAGGACATGGTATTTACTGTTGTTAAGGGAAAAGCCTGAGAACTTGCTGCGTACAGCTGCCTTTTATTCTTTAACCAGCTGTATATGTTCATGGCCTTTTTTCCTTCAAGCCATGTCTGAGCAAAATTCTCCAACAAATTCCCCGTTTTTCTTTTTTGCGCAAGGAGGTTAGTCTGCCAGGTTTTTTCTATCATTCTACTGACCATATTTTGAATATAATTAAAAATACAAGGTAAAATAAGCAGAAGCATTAAAAGCACATCTAATATCTCTACAGCATATGTCACAAGGTTCCTCAGCCACCAGGTCTAAGCAATGGCTTTTACCCCAAAGGGTTAAAACCACCCCCAACTGAGCCATAATGTCTTCCTTATCAGGTATTGCACGGTAGGTGGTAATTGGACTACTGAAAGGGAAAGCTGTTAGCTGTTTTTCATTCATGCGAACCCAGAGAGGAGGCGAACGGCTAGGGCTAGTAATGCTGGAATCGACTCCAGTGTCCAACAAGCCTGAAAATGATCCTTTCTGTCCTTGAAATTCCACTTCCACCCTTTTCTTGGGTCTCTCAGAAAGGTTCAAAGCCAGTAAGGTAAGTCCTCTGGTGGATTCAAAACCATTTTCCCCCCTCTCTTGTCCTTTCATAGTCTGTAGTCCCTTAGTCATTTGGCTCAAGTGGCACCACCTGAGCAATTCTCAGTCCTTTGTTAATTTGGAGTGGTGGGAAAAGAGTATGCACCATAACATATAGTCCACATCAATGATGCCAGGCAAAACAAATAATCCCAACGCAGATGATCTTCCGAAAAGCAAAGCACCCACCGCGTGACCCTGTATAACAATAGGTCCGTGAATCCCTGTCGGGATCTTCCGTGGGTGCAGGGTCATCAGCATAACTTCTACGGCGGCTGCCGGTTCCAAGCCGAGGCTCCCTGTGGTGTCGGGTTGGAGACAGGAGAGGGTGCTGATGCTGCAGCAACGACTTCTGTTGGTGCGTGGTCACTGCGGTTCTGGCACCAACTAGGCGTTGAAGGCAGTGCTGCTGATGTTTGAAGAGGTCCAAGAGCAGATAACACCTGATTTTGAGAGGTCTTTGCCTGTTCTTGTAAGCCTAGCCCTAACTGTGCTATGCATTCATTTACAAGCCCTTGCCAATGAGCATTGAATAACAATTGCTGAGGCTGAGTAAAGATCAATTTATCTATCTCATGACAATCATTCACCAAAAGAAGAAGACTGGCATCAAAAATATAATCTAACATCTGTTTGGCTGGCTCACTTTTCACTCCAAACTGACTAACAGTAGACCTCAGCTGAGACAGCAATTTCCACTCAAGAGCTGTAATAGTAGCCTGCATGGCCCCTCCCTCTTGCGGATTGAATACAACAGAACAAGCCAGCTGGGTAGCAGCGCTGATAAGCTCCCCATCCCCCTTTTTAATAGCGTCTCTGGCAAGCGCAGCCCAGGCCAATCTCCGCTCCCTTGCAATAGCCCCCGCTAGGTCATTTTCCGCCCCAGGGATCGGCTCATTGATTTTCGGGAGATTATTGGGTGGTCTTGGCCATAGTTCGTGTTGTTCAGGGGGTGTGGAAGCCTCAGAAGCGCTCTGTGTAGCCTGGCTTAAAGCAGAAGAGGGCGGCGAAGCAGGTAATAAGACCGTCCTCATTGCAGGGGCTAATGGTAATCCCCTATCCTGATCGTATCCCCTGTCCTGGTCGTAATCTTTATTACACCCATCAGCGGCGCTAGCCTGCTGGGCAGCCTCTTTCTCACCCTGAAACTGCAGTAATTCATTGCGAATGACCCGCCATAATTTACCTAACTTCTTGGCAGTTTTATCGCCCTCTAAAGTAGCCTCCCATAATAAATCACGGAATTTACGCCACTCCGTTAACTCGTGAACTGTATGGGGGTTAATAAAAATTCCTCTATCGTAGCCATAAACCAAAAGCCCTGGTAAATCCTTTTGCAAATCTATCCCCTTAACCTGCCTTTTTTGTAAAATGCAGTAAATAAATCATATGCTGCTTGCCTTTTCATACCTAAAATCGTCAGCGCTGTTGCAGCCTCTTCAAGGTCCGTGCAGCACGTATCAGTCGGGCTCGCCTGTACGACACCCAAGGCACGAGGCGTCTCAGCTTCTTTTTTATCCGCTTTTTTTTTCTGTTCTCCGCGTTTTCTGCCGTCCCGGCTGCTTCTCAGGACCTGAGCGTGTCTTCACTCCTCCGTGGTGCGTTGCTGTATCACGATTGGGTGTCACCATTTGAGGAAACGAAGGGAGTCGACCACATCCTAATTGATCAGCATCGAACTCCGATTTATTGATCTAGCTTACACTCTTTTATAGAGGTGTTAATTAAGCTTATACATATTACAAAACCCGAGCTCATCATTGGTTGTAGATTAGACACCAACCCCTCTTTGTTGCCGATACCTGTGGTTTTCTTGTTGAGACTAATACTTGTTTTTCTCATCCTGTTATTGACTTGTTATTAACTGTTCTCAAGGCCTCCATGTGTCCCTGCCACCACAGTGGTGACAGCTGTGTCCCCTCAGTGTGACTGTGTCGGTGTCACCCCAGGTGTTCAATCCTCTGAGACTGTCTGGAGAACAGTAAGGGACAGTCCCCGCCGTCCTTCATCCCCTTCTCTGCTGGCCCCAGGTATGTGCTGGAGTGGGGACAGGAGTGTCCCTACATGCCACCCCTGTCCCTGGCTGGGTTCACAGTGGGATGACAGTGACAGTGGGGACGTGGTGGCAGGAACTGCATCGGGCAGAGCTTTGCCATGGCTGAGATGAAGGTGGTAGTGGCATTGACACCGTCCCAGTTGGTGCTGAGGAGGGACAACGTGAGGTCACCCCCGCGCCGCCAGCCCGAGCTGATCCTGCATGCCAAGGACGGGCTCTGGCTGCTGCTGGAGCCACTGGTGGGAGTGGCCTGAGTGACACAGGTCACCAGGACATGGGGACATCCCACAAGGTGGGTGTCACAGCCAGGGGAAGAGCAGGGAATAAATGGTAGCATGAAAGGGACAGTATCATGGTGGTGGTGGGGATGTGTTGTCCTTGGCCATGGGACACCTCATGGCATGGACATGTCAACCCATGGACTTGTCCCCTAGGCCACTTGTGTCGCCATCCATGGCCATGTCCCCCATGTCCTCATCCATGGCCATAGAGCCCCACGTCGCCATCTCTATCTGTGACACCCCCTCATGCCCAATATCGCCATCCACAGCCATGTTCACACCCATGTCCTTGTCCCCATCCCCATCCCCAACATGTCCCCACCCATGTCCCACAATGTCACCATCCGTGTGATATTTAAATGTCTTTATATTTACCCCAATGTTGGGTGAAGGGCAAAGAAAAATGAGAGAAAATAAAGGCCAAAATAAAAGCATTTACGTGTCCATGCTGGCTGAGGATCCATGTGCTTGGGTGGGTAGAAATGACCTGTTTTAAGAGGGATTTCCACTCCATTGTCTCCAAAATTCTGGTTTTTTGCCCCAGTCCATCACCATTTGGCTGTGGAAGATGCTGGTGGGCCAGAGAGAATTAGAATCATGGAAAGATTCAGGTTGGAAAAGACCTCCAACACCATTTGGAATTCCTGGATGCCACCCAAAGCAATGATTGGATGCCAAAGGTCAGACTTTTTGGTGTCAAAAGTAAAAAAAATGTCCTGTCCCCTATGAAATTCTGATGTCAGTTTGCATCCCAATGGATTTTTCTCCGGCTGTGTCCAAGTGCCCAAGGGAAGCCAGGAAGATGTGGAGACCACCAGCCAGGTGTCTTCCCAACATGGATCACCAGGACCATGGATGACCAAGTCTCTGCCCAGCGAGGGTCACTGTGGACCATCCAGTGGGGGTCCCCAACGGGGGATGGAGTTGAAGCAGCGCTCAAAGCTCTTCCTGTCACTGTAGGACGCAAAACAACATGAGCGCACACACTGCTGCTCTCAAGGGGGAGAAAAGGGAAGTTTATTTTCTGACTCCAACATTTATAGTTTTCTAAAAGTGACTGGATTGGAGGGTGAAAGTGCCACCTCTCCAATGACACTGGACAAACCAACAGTCCATCAAATTTTTCTTCTTCTAAAAAAGAATGCAAAACAATAAGTTATTTACAGAAAGTGTGTGAGAAAGTTTGCTACAAGAATGTAAACATCAGAAGGCTTAGAAAATCATAAAAAATCAAGGTGACACTCTTCCTGCACACAGGGCACTTGCAGGGCATCCCTTACTGCTGCCTCCCTTGGTGTTGGGTCACAGCAGAGTTCTGGGAGAAGCTCTTCCCACACTTAGGACACTGTCAGGGCCTCTCTCCAGTGTGGATCTGCTGGTGGGTGACAAAGGTGGAGTTTTTCTTCAAGCCCTTCCTGCAGTCAGGGCAGCAGAAGGGCCTCTATTCTGTGTGAATCTGCTGATGCTTGAGGAGACAGTATTGGCTCTGAAAAACCTCTCCCCACACTCAGAACACTCATAGGGCCTGTCCCCAGCGCAGATCCTCTGGTGGGCAATCAGGCTGGAGTTCTAGCCGAAGCTCTTCCCACATTCTCCACACTTGTAAGGCCTCTCCCTGGAGTGGATCCTCTGGTACAGAATCAGCCCACTGCTCCTTCTGAAGCTTTTCCCACATTCCCTGCACTTGTAGGGCCTCTCCCCAGTGTGGATCCTCTGGTGGGCATTCAGATGGCAGCTCTGCCTAAAGCTTTTCCTACATTCCCTGCACCTGTAGGGCCTCTCCCCAGTGTGGATCCTCTGGTGCATAATCAGGCTGGAGTTCTCGATGAAGCTCTTCCCACACACTGAGCACATGTAGGGGCATTCCCCAGTGTGCACTGTCTGGTGGATGATCAGGCGAGAGCTGTCACGGAAGCCCTTCCCACATTCTCCACACACAAAGGGTTGTATCCCAGTGTGGATCATCTGGTGGAGTTTCAGGCTGGAGCTCCTCCTGAAGCCTTTCCCACATTCTCCACATTGATAGGGCCGTTCATTGGTGTGGATCCTCTGGTGGATGATCAGGTGGGAGCTGAACCTGAAGCTCTTCCCACATTCCCCACACTCATGGGGCGTTCCCCGGTGTGCATCCTCTAGTGGATGATCAGGTGGTAGCTCGTGGGGAAACTCTTCCCACATTCCAAGCACTGGTGGGGCTTCTTGCCATCATCAAGCTGCTCATAGACCACCACCTCAGAGCTCTGGCCAGAGCTCCACCTGCCTTCCTGGCACAGGCTGGGTCCTTCCTCCTCAGAGCATCCTGGGCTGGGTTTGCAGCCCCTCCTCCTGTGGGATCTCCAGGGCTTTTCCTCCCTATTGCACTCCTGTGCCCTGCAGCCACTCAAAGTGGCCTCTGCCACGATGTTCTGCCATGGGGATTTGCCCTCCCTGGTCTCCATCCTCAGCTCCTGCTCTGGGGGAGGAAGGACAAGGAGAGGATGAGATTTGCATCTGTGCCACAGGGAAGGGGAAGGAGATCCCCCCAGTGCATCCCTGGCTGGACAGCATCAGCAGCATCAGTCCTGCAGCCGGGGGCCGTGTTGGGCGGGGAGATGGAGCAGGAGAGAGGGGGAAAGGGGAAGCAACTTCCTCCTCACCTGCCTGGGGCATCTTCGGCTTCCTCGCAGCCTTCTTCTCTATCCAGATAAGGTTTGGGAATGGGAAATCCTGGTTTGCGGAAAAAACAAGATGTGAGTGCATTGCCTTCGAAGGTCCCACTGATCAAGTCCATCTCTAGAAGTCACCGGGTGGCCAGAAATATCTCCAAAATCAAGGAGTCCAAAAACCTCTCCCAGGAGTTCCCTGTTTCCAGTGTCCTCACTCTGGGGTTATGGGGTCCCTATTCTCAGAGCTGCTGGGGGGCCCATGGGTCCTGGGAATTCCCTCTCTCCTGGGTCCTGCTTACACAGCCTGAGGGTCTTTTGTGGGTCCCAGGGATAATGGGCAAATTTATGATGCTCATATCCCCATTTGTCTGAAATAAGCTTTGCACCTTTAAGGCTGGTTCTGAGAACAAAGATGGAGGAAGAAGAAGCATGGAGTTTGTTTTCAGAACCTCTCTCACTCCTCCACATTCCGGCTCCTCTGTTGTCTGTGGACAGACAGACAGCGGGACAGAGCCCTCCTTTGCTTTTAGTTAGTTTTAGCTAGCAGAGGAAGAGAAGTTCCCTGGACTGTGGTTTTTGGTTTTCCTTTTCTTTGGACCTGTCTAAACCTGCTCTGTACTGAACACCCAGAAGAGCACCAGGTGCTCACACCTGTGCCAAACCGGGGCTGGGCCACGGCATTTCCAGCACCAGAGAGACTCATAAGAGACTCATAAGAGACTGATAAGAGACTGAGCAAGCCAAGCTACAGCCCATGGAGGGACTTTGTGAGTTCGTCATCTCTTTTGGAGCAGCAAGCAGTTTTATTGTTTAATACTGTTAATTTTTGGGGTTGGTGAGTGCTTTGCCTATTAAATAAATAGTTTTTTCCACTTCTCTCAAAGGAAATACTTTTCCAGAATCAGTTGGATGAGGGGCCGCTTGACTTTGGTCTTCTACAGGAAACACCTTTAGAGGTTTTTCTCCCAAAACTGCCCTAAACCAGGACATTGGCTTTGAAGGTCCCACTGGCCAAGTCCATCTCTAGAAGTCACTGGGTGTCTGGTGGCCAGAAATACCTCCAAAAACCAGGAATTCCAAAAACACTCTTCTAGGAGTTGCCCATTTCCAGTGTCCTGACTTTGAGGTTATGTGGGTCCCTCTTCTCAGAGCTCTGCTCTGGGGGGTCTCGGGCATTCCCCCCTCTCCCAGGTCCTGCTCAGGCATGCTGAGGGGGTTTTGGAGGTCTCAGAGCCCATCCTCCCCTGATTCTGTGGAAATTGTTTTTGTGATTCATGTCAATTGGCAATGGAATCAGCAAATCCTTCTATCCGCTGTGTCCAAAAGAGACACAAAGAAAAGTTTTGAAACTTTATGACCAAATAGCCAAATAAAGCATCAAAATCAAAGAAGTATAGTAGAGCAAAAGAGATGAGGTAGCAAGATGACTGATGCTTAGAATACAATAGAGGAAGTTGGGGCAAAGCTAAGAGATATTGCAAAAAAGCAATTAAAATCTTATGTATAATAAAAAACTTGATGCACTTGACAAAATCATGTAGCAGACATCAGTCTAAGACCTCCCTCCAGACAACCACAACAAGGATAGAAATCAATGACCACCTGGAAAGATTATGAAATTGGTGCTCTCAGCTTTTTGATATTTGCTAATTTGGACTAACCAAGCACATTGGAAAATGCTCTGTAGGCTTAAAAACAGTATATATACTTTACCAAACTGTGTGTGCTGTGAGTGAAGCAGTGACTCTCTGGCCACCCAGCGCTGCTTGCTTGCTTTAAAATAAAAGGTATAGAAGTAAAATTTGGATTGGCTATTGAAATTTTATATCAGGTGTTCCAGGGTCCCCTTTCTCCAGCATCCCTCCACTCCAGGCACTCAGCGCTTCCCCTGCTCCCCTTTGCACTCCTAAGAGATCCAAAAATATCCCCTCATCAAATGAATTAAAAACACCTCTCTCAGCGACACTGAAACATATTTGGGACTCGACTCCTGTGAAAAACGCCAATCACTTCTTTTTAAAATTTTAAAAGTTTAATAGTAATAAAATGATTACAAAAATAGTAATACAACTTGAGTAATAATAATTTGGACAATTTGAATTAGGACAATACGAGACAACAAACAGAAAGAGTTATGGACGTCCGGGTACCTTTTTCTGGGCAGCACAAGCCCAGAAAAGGACTCCCGCTAATAAAGGATTAACCCTTAAAAACAATAGCATGTTGCATATTCATACACCTCATACATGATGCATAAATTCCATTCAAACACAGGATTCTGTCTGGTCACCATCAACTTCTTCCTTCCAATCCTAACAGCCCCTTCGA